CAAGTGGTTCATCAGAAGTACAACATCAGCGTTGGAAATAGCTCAAGTTCAATATATAGCTTGTTGGTTGGTAGCTGTAAGAGTACACCAGATGAAGTTAGTAAATTGGTTGGTTGGTCAGATGATTGACAGGGTGGACGGACAGCTCATTGGTTGGTGAGTTAGTAGAGTCTGAAGATTGTGGTGGTTGATTGTAAAACCTTGAAAGAATGAATGAATGTCACTGTAAATCTATATGATGCAAATGCTCTTAAATATGCATATTGTGGCCATATCATAGTCATTGACTCCCATGTTTGCAATTCTCTCTAATTTTAAGTTTCATCCTCCCATGAGTCTGTGGGGGGCTCCTGGTGGGAGGTATGGAGCATTCCACCTGGACACCAGTGTGCATGCAAGCCGCTGTGTGTTTGTGTTGCATTACACATGGCAGCCTTCACAACATGACTGGCTCCACTGGGCTTAGCCTGCTGGGATTTAGGCACGCAACCACCAGAACCCAGAGAGAGGAGCCGAGGGAGAGGGATGAAGATGGGATGTGGGTTTATGGTGTGTGTACCGGAGCGAACTTGTTTATGTTACCTCTTTAAGATGTCAAAATGGAGAATGAAAAAGTGGCCCAAATGTACAAAAATCCCAAACAGGTTTAGCCAAGTCCGTTTGGTAAAGGTTTGATTCACAGGCTAACTAAATGAATAAGGCCCAGGACAAACTCTTTCTTAACACGACAAACATACACTCCCACAACCACACAGTGCAGACCATGTATGTGAATATATCCTGACTGATACGATCAGAATTAGCTAATATATAACCATGCAGTTGGTAAAAATGTATCTTTTTTACGTTGGAATGCTAACTGGCTAAACATTTTTAAACTGTTTTTTAACTGCCATATAGAGATATTGCCTAGCATTAATCCATATTTGTACTGGATCCACATGTGTACAAAGCAAACATGGGTTTAAAAATGGGATTTGGTTTGGGGGTACAAATGGTTACTAGCTTATATATAAACTATATATATACAGTATATTGTGAGTCAACTAATAGTGCATTAAAGGCTATGGTACCTGTTTGTTACTGAACTTCACATATTTTTCAGGTACATCATTTAGGGCTGTCATTATTGAAACTAAAAAGGCACATTTATCCCGGTCCTGCTGATGGTCGTTGCTGTGGCATGATGTCTGACTTTATTTCTGTCTGATGGTCCCCCAGCTGGATTCCTGGCCCCGAGTGTAGCTCCTGCCCGCGGCTATGATGAACTACAAAGGGGGGATAGAGAGTCACACATGGCTTTGATAAAAACCTCACAACTGCAGTGGAGTAATCAGAGTCTGGCAAAGCTGAGTGGGAAAACTGCACAGGACTGGTTCAATTGGAAGAAGGAAATAGTTTATGGAGAGTAATCTTCAATTTAAACCTATTTTCACTCAATTTCCCATTTTTCTTTTGCAAGCACAGGGAATTACCGAACACATGAATTTAGTATTTTCAAGTGTGATTACGGTTATGTGGCAGCAGTACGTCACTATGCAAATGCTTTAAGAGATGCAGGAAATAGGTACAAAGTAAAGGAGGCAAGTTTGAAATTCAATCGCACAGTCTGGCCTCAGACCGTGATGTCAACACCAGGGATTATAATAAGGCACAGTGATATCATACTGCTATCAGATGCCGTAGATCATAGGTGCCCAGCCACTAAGACTAGTGCTGGGCCATGTGTTGTTTCAGTCTGGACGACAGACAAATATATGAAAAAATCAAATTTGAGTTTTCTGAGCTTACCACTAACATGCAGAAGTTTTTTCAAGATTCTCAATTAATAGATGATAAAATCCCTAGATATACCACTCCAATGCACCACCACACAGCCTCACTGAGTGCAGGACGGTAAGTTACAGTGATCCTACTGTACAACTGACAAGCCGACTGACACAGTTGAGGGACCAACGACCAATTAATATAAAGAGGACAACAACTCCACTGATGTTTTGACACCGACTCTCACCAGGTTCTACAAGCCTCATTCCAAATGCACAGCAATGACTAAAAAAAACACCAACTCTATGAAGCTACATTTGAGTTATTCCATCATTTGGATTAGTCCGAAAGAAAAACAGGTGTGAAACACAACCGTCTACTGTAGCTGCTGATATTTGAGGTTCAAATGATGATGTGCTTAGTTCTGATCACCAACGTGACATGAACTTATCAAATTAATCAACAGCACATGCGCACTTCTGTTTGTACTGAATCTAAAAATGATAACTATCTGAACAATTTTTCCTCCTAAAACTAACCACATTTCTGCTGACTCCCAGAGAAATTGGCACACACACACACACACACACAGATAGTTTTTCAACTGAAATCAATGTTTGGACTTTTGTGCAGAAATGTTGGGAACTGTGCCGACACCATGCGGAGGCCTCGGTGGGTATCCTTCCTCCGCAGACACTGAGGTCACCCGTGTGGCTGAGATGTGGTTAAGTGGGGAGTGCGAGGCTATCTCAGCGATGAGTGCTAAATACTGGAACTGTCTGGGTAAGAGGGGGGAGGTGGGGGGGCAGTCAGAGAGGAAAGGAGGAGGCAAAGATTATCTGCAGACTTGAGAGGAGGAGATCAAAGGGTGGAGGAGCTGTCTGAACTCTCGGGGATGACAATACTGATTAAACTACATCGATGCTGGAATATGAACCTGACCTTGAAATGAAGAGGATAAAAAAAAATTAAAAGAATGCTACTTTGTTTTTGTTTTTTTTTTGTTTTGTTTTTTAACTTAATGTCCTATCCTGATGTTTAGCCATAAAATATCTTCATTTGTCGACAGAAGTTACAGACCACATTAAGGATTACCAAGTGCCACGATTAGCCCCTGAGCCAGCAGAGCTCGTAAAACGTATAAATCTGGAGCCACTGAAGCTGTTTATGTTACAAAATAACTCGGACCAGTTATTGCACGATAAAAATAAGTGAAGCCGTTGAGTAGAGCGATTCAGTCGACATCAAAGTTCTGCAGCTCTGTGGTGCAGTGGAACAAGTTGTGAATTATGGCTGTGTCAACAGTCCTACACAGTCTGAATCTGGGTTTGATTGAAATGGTCAGACTGGGCCTCATAAAACAATAAAATGAAAATGTTTGTACAAAATTATGACCCGAAAATCAAATATTACTGGAATGCACTAACGACATTTTAATTTTAGATTGTTGTATAATATAACATAACATATAACATTAATGCACAACTTTTAGATTAATGTTATTTGACTTTTATCATCATTCTTATATTAATAATAATATTAATGATCTACATTTCCTTTAATTGGAAATTAATTCTCACAACAGGTAAAAACATTTCCCACTAACTCCAACCAGTCACAGATTCTTTCTTCAGTTCAAAAACATTCAAAATAAAGTGCTTGGTGACTTGATGAATGCTTGGAATGAGGTATTGAATAAAAAAAGGACTTATTGTGCAACCACATTTCTGACAAATAATACTTTGCACAGTTAGTCGGCATAACAATGAAAAGTATCTGATATATTTTTTAAAAATATGAACAAGTCATTTTCTCTCTCTCCCCTCTACATTCTACATGATCACATAATAATGACTGACAATAATGAATATATCCAAAGTCTAAACCTCCCATGGGATTACAACATAATTTCAATCACGCACATATATCTACACTTTGTTTTCTCTCTGATTTAAGATGGTTCATTTTGTTTGTGCATAGCCATACTTAATTAACAACAAACATTATGCATTAAAATAAATCCAACGATAGTGTCTTACTACAGCTGTGATCTGATCATCTCCTGAAGACCAACTACTTTTGGACATGTCTACTGTTCCACTGTTGTTTTACCCTTTTATCAGCCCATGAAAAATGTCACAAAAGATGAGCTGTGGCTCCCAGGTCAGTTCCCATGGTGAGGCCTCCACACCTGTGCTTCTGTGGGACAACCGGGTCAAATCAACCTGCGCCACAACAGTAGAGACAGACAATATCATATTGTTTGTTGTAGAAAAACAGAGGCGAATAGACTCAACATGTGTTGAAGTGACGTCCTCAGACAGCGGTGAAGTGAAGATCACGGCTGCTCCCACTACAGGAGGCTCTGTGCCAGCTGAGTGAAAGTCTATTTCTCTGCAGTGCAGCTGGTCCAAGAGATACGAGCCTGACATGAGGTGGATGTGTGAGGGTCAAATCATCCAGACCACAGATATTTTCTCACACTGTAATATCTTCTCAACTGGAGTAGCTGTGTGTAAGATAAGAACACACACCCCCCTGCCCCCCCCATGCATTTAGGTAAAACATTCCCATAACGTCATGGGGATGCATTCTCTGTGCTCCAGCTTCTTCTGATCCAACTACTCCTTACTCAACTTAAAAAAAAACCAAAACAAAACAAGAAAAATAATTTCTGGTATACCACAAAACCAAGAATAATTTGGCTTCATGGTACAGATGCTACATCAGCTACTGACATTAAATTGTACATTTTCAGAGAACTGTATTCTTTAATCCTGTGTCTGAAGCAGCGTTTTATTTTAAAGTTTATTATGTCTAGACTACTTTGTTTTTGCTCCTGAAACTTCTTCCATGTTGACTAATGCAGTGTGCCCCTAGTGGATTATTTAGAAATAGCATTTTATTAAGAATTTCAAGGTTTTAATCATTATTTTTTTTACTTTCAAAATTCATCTCGTGGGGCAGATTGAACCCCCCAGGGGACCGGTTTTGGGCCGCAGGCCGTACGTTTGAGATCTCTGTTCTAGTATGATTCCAGACAATAAATGACAATTCATATTATATATTAAAAAAAAAAAGACAAGAAACCGATCTTTGAGTTCATCTGGGGGCAGGTGCCAAGTGCCATGAAATTTGCTCCCAATCCATTTGACACTTTTCCATGTGTTTGAAGAAATGTCACTACTGCTTACGAATAACATCTGTTTCTGTTTGTTTGTTTTTTTTCTCAGATACTTGGCCAAGCTGTCGTCAGTAGGGAGCATCAGGGATGAGGAGACATGTGAGCGGTTACGAGGCCTCATCCAGAGACAGGTACATACCTTAACTCATTCATTCAATATATCTGTCAGAAAGACAAAAGACCAAATTACATTTTTACCGAGGCTATGTATTAGCATTAACTAATAAAGAATATAAAAGAAACTTTTTTGGCCAAAAGGAACAGTTGCCTGGTGGGGTAGTGTCATATGTATATGTTTGGTTAGAATATCTTGTTTTGTCCACAATAGGTGACTCTACGCAGAGAGATACAGAATTGATGCTCATTCACCTCATTACATATGTACATATGATTTAACTTGATTTAACTTCCTCGGTCTGGGTTCCAGGTCCAGATCTGTAAGCGCAGCGTGGAGGTGATGGATGCAGTGCGTCGCGGGGCTCAGCTGGCCATAGACGAATGCCAGTTTCAGTTCCGCAACCGACGATGGAACTGTTCAACTCTGGAGACAATGCCTGTGTTTGGCAAAGTGGTCACACAGGGTAAGATTTTATATTATCCACTTAGGGCTTTAAAGAGGGTCTAATGAGAACGGCCTTTATTTCTACTTCTACTGTAGGCGGTTCTAGCAGAGGTAGTCAGCATCAGAAGGAGATGATTTAGGCAAAAAACTAATTTTTTGCCAAAAACACGACTTGTACTGCCAGTATTTTAGTAAGAAATAATATTTGATTTTCTCCCTTGTGTTATTTGACCTTCTTGTCACTACAAGCCAAGATGTTTTATACAAATGTGTCAAAAGCAGTTGTTGCCCTCCTAATAAATGTATCTAAATGAAATGTGTTCTAATGTAACTTAATTATAGTGTTCTGTTACACGCGAGCAGCACTTGGCCCTCAGCTGCTTTTACAGATTTTTGCAGCCTCTCGAAAAATTTGGACAAATGCGTCAAACAACTCCCCTTTAATCCTTTTGCTTTTTTCTTCAATTTGTGGAGCTGAATACACTCTTCATTAGACCTTTTTTTTAATTTAAAGTGAGAAGGTCTTTTCATTGCCATGATGAAACAATCTGACTGTGTTTGTGCATGTGTGTGCGTCGTCTGCCAGGCACCCGTGAGGCTGCCTTTGTGTATGCCATCTCAGCAGCCAGTGTGGCGTTTGCGGTAACGAGGGCCTGCAGCAGCGGAGAGCTGGAAAAATGTGGCTGTGACCACAATGTACATGGAGTCAGTCCAGAGGGTAGGTCGCTTTTTTCTGTCTCCCTCACTCTGTCTTACACACACACACAACATGAAAATGCAATGAATGCTGTGACATTTAACGTCACTTTTTAATACACTGAAATTATGACATCTCTCTTTATATACAGCTATGTTCTCCAACACTAATATTCAGCCAACCATCAGTAGAGCAGGCAATGATTAACAGCAAATCGTCTTAAACATGGCAGTGGTTTAATTTCACCGTCAATCACAAAATGGTCATTTACACCAGTGTATAGGTCTGATCTATATACAGTAGAGCAGTGTTTCCCAATTTTTTTTTCTGGGGACCCATATTTTAAAAGTCACAACTCGCGACCCAAGTCAATAGACATTATTCGCAAACTCCTGGGAAACATGATGCGAGACGACCCAAAAAAAAAAAAAAAAAAATCTCTTGTGACCCACCTGAGGATCGCGACCCAGACTTTGGGAAACAATGCAGTAGAGCCACTAGTTGAATGGAGTGGTGGGTGCCACTCATGACTGCCACACAGTGCGGAAAAGAGATGAGTTCATAACTAATTGACGGTGCAAAAAAGGGGAAGAGAAAGAAACAGGGGCAGGAAGAGAGTCAGGGGTAAAGTGACTCTCCATGAGAAAGTATTGAGGCATGCTATAATGTATGATTTGGAGACAGTGGTACTGTGCAAAACACAGGAGGCAAAGCCTGAGGGAATAGAGTTCAAGATGCAGAGATTTTGATTTTGATTGGGCGGGATAGACTGTATTAGAAAACAAGCAGACCTGATGTACAGTCAAGGTTGAGCAGTTTCAAGGTCAGGTTGAAGAGTCAAGGCTGAGCTGGACAACTGATGGTTGGTTTAACGGTAGAAGAAGCAGGAGATAGTGGATAGAAGACAAGAAAGAAAATTTGTCAACTTGAAGACGTAAATATTGTGATACTTCAAGAACATCAACTACAATACGCAACACTTTTGCTTGGACTGACCTGTTAAAAGTACCCTAGTGGTTGGCATGTGTTATTTTCCATGCTTTTCAAG